AAATATTTTGCTTTTCAAAATCAAAAATGACCATTATTCAATTCTTTGTTTTCCCTCTTTCCTTCCCTTTATCCCTGGTCCCCTTGCTGGTTTTCCCCTCTTCCACTTTGTGACTGAAAAAGCTGGAGCGGGGAGGAGACAAACAGAAAAGCAACTGGAAAAAAAACAACCCAAAATCAACTTCAGTTTAAAAAAACTAAACATTTTCTATTTGGGTTGGGGTTGCTTTGTTTTGTGTAAAACAAAACCAAAAAAACCCCTGAAAAATGTGAAAATGTCCCATGAAAATAAAAAAGGCCATTTTTCACTGAACAAACATTGCAAATGAAATGGTTTGACCAGCTCTGCTTATAATGAATAATTGATCATTATTCTTTCGACAGCTGATACATTTGGAGGAGAAGGGAGGGCTGTGACAATACAGCTGAAAGCCATCTTGTACCTGAAGCAGCATGTGCTCCCACTGTTCATGGTCCAGGGAATTCTCTGTGTTTCCTATAAAGGAGGAAGCAAAACAATAATGTCACTTAGGTTAGCAAGAAGAGTCGTCCCAGGTATCTCCTTTGCAATCAGTCCTTCTAAAACTCCTGGTCTGCCAAGCTGTAACATACCTGGGCTTTCAAGGCTAAATGGGACCTACACCAGCGTTCTTTGTTGGACCAACAGAAAGTATCATGTTATGTACCCGGTTGGCATTTTTATTCAGGGTCAGTCAACCCACCAGGAGTGAGATGCTGAGCACTCCCAATTCCTGTTGACTTTCATGGGAGCTGAGGGTGCTTAGCACGTCACAAAACGGTTCAGCACATCAGAGGACTGGGTTTAATGTGAATACAAACTTTTCCTGCATAATAAGAGATTCTGGACTTGATCCTAACTTGATGTAAATCGGTGTAGCTTCACTGAAGTCCATGGAATTATACTGATTTACATCAGCTGAGAATCTGGCCCTGTTTCTGAAGGTCCAGCTCTAACCTACCCTTCTTTAATGTCGGCACAATGTAATACTGGGGATTCTGCACAGCAACAACAACTAGGGAAGATACAGCTCATTTCTTAAATCTTTTTTTGAATATCAAACCCACTTGAACATTTTGGGGTCCGATGTTCATGAGAAAGATATCGGCTTTGTGCTCCACATAGGGTCGGTCATACTCCACAGAGACTGTACTGGCACAGCTACGTCATTGGAGCTCTGCTGGCATAACCCCATAGTATAGACAAAGCCGACACCAGGGGTCGGCAACCTTTCAGAAGTGGTGTGCCGAGTCTTCATTTATTCACTCTGATTTAAGGTTTCGCGTGCCAGTAATACATTTTAACATTTTAAGAAGGTCTCTTGCTATAAGTCTATAATATATAACTATTGTTGTATGTAAAGTAAATAAGGTTTTTAAAATGTTTAAGAAGTTTCATTTAAAATTAAATTAAAATGCAGAGCCCCCTGGACCAGTGGCCAGGACCCAGGCAGTGTGAGTACCACTGAAAATCAGCTCGCGTGCCACCTTTGGCACGCGTGCCATAGGTTGCCTACCCTTGGCCTACACTGATTGAAGGGTTTTTTCCACGGAGGTCAATAGATTCATACCGCTGTAAAATTGGTGAAAGACATTTTTAGGCCCATAATACCTAGATTCGACATAGGGCACCCACTTGGCCAACCTAGCTTTTATGGCTTGGGTTTCCTTACAGAAAGAAAAACTCTGGGTTTTTGAATTGAATCACCCTTGAAAGTAAACATGGGGTTTAATTTTCAGAAAAATTCAGTTTCCAAAATCAGACTATATATGTAACTCCAAAATATTTCACTAACCTCCAGCTTCATGTGTATTCACCTTCCCAACTAATAACCTAGCAAAGGTGTGGGGGGAACTGCTGTAAAATTTCCATTCAGCTGAAACCTTCCTGGCCTGATTCTGCCCTGATTGAATTGGCCTCAGTGGTTCAACTCTGGCTTTACCCCAGTGGTTCCCAGTTATCCAGGTGAAGGAAAAGTGAGGGCCTAGAAGCCCAATTTCAATTCCCCACTGTTCCCATGTACTGCAGCAGGAATGGCACAACACATGTCAATAGGAAGCTGCATTTTGTGGCTTCCCTGCCATGGACCGCACTCCTCCTAACTAGCACTTTACCTTCAATGAACCGCAGCAGAGGTGGGATCTTCAGTACCCACATCTCACCCACTGCTGCGTGGATATTGTGGTGCAGGGCCTTCAGTAATTGCAAGGCAGCACATCCATGTCCTTCGCTTTCATAAGGGGATGAGGCTACTACCTGTCAATGAGAGAGAAAGAACAGGCTAAGTTTTGTCAGGCAGTTTGTTCCTGAAGGAGGGAATAGGTCAGACTCTCTCATTCTGGAGACCATACAATAGAGTTGTTGCTTCTACTGCAGTGTCTTCCTGAAGAAGCAAGCATTCTAGCTAGTACGAGGATGCAGAATAGTGTGTCTCAGGAGAGGGTGGAGAGAGAGAGACCCAATCATACACATTGCTCAGCCTGTCTATAAGCATCTAGCTATAATACCGATTTTTACAGTTAACTGTCCCACTTCACATTTAGCAGAAAACCTATTTTCATGGTCTACTCACCAGGAGTCGCGCCAGCAGCCCCTGGGGTGTAGGGAGTTTCACTAGGGAAAGAAACAGAATAGTTTTAATTATGCCAGGCTTTGCAGAGAGTCCTGCCAAAGTTATTCACCTATCCATTTCCAACGTGCCCACCAATGTTGAATACAGCTGATAATCATTTGCATTTCCATAGTGCTTTCAGTCTGAGCATCTCAAAATGCTTTACAAACAGGAATGAATTCCGCCTCACAGCACCTTTATGAGGTTGGCATTAATTACTCCTTCATTTCACAAGTGGGGAAGCTGAGAGAGAAAGATCAAGTGATTTCCCCCAAGGTCACATCAGAATTTTGGTGGCAAGCTGGGAACAGAACCCACATTTCCTAGCTCCCTCCCATGGCCATGTTGTAATCACAAGACCATCCCTCATTCATTTTAGCTTCCAGATTGCAGACGAGAGAACTGGAGGAGACTGAACCTGTTCATTGCATAGTGTGCCTGGAGAGAATACATGAAAGAGTTTCTGTTATAAACCTGGTCCACTGTAGTCGAGGCAAGCAGCTTCTTCTCCTTCCTGCTGCTTTTTCTCAGCCAGTTCCCTAAGGCATCTGCAGAGAGGCTTCAAAGTACCCGTGTACTGAGCTGGCACCACATACTCCAGAAGCCTTGGCCATAACACCTGCAGAGAAGAGCGAGACTGTTCAGTACCCAGCTATTTCCATTCCCCCTCCTCCAGTCTCCTGCTGTCTGAATCCCTCCTTGTCATGTAGCTTCTCCTTTTATTCCTCACTGACCCTTCCCTAACCTATCACCTCATCTCTCTCTCCCCATCATCTCACTCTCCCTGCCCGGTGCCCCCGCACTCTGTCTTTTAAATACACTGCCTTGTTTGGTGAGCAATTTGGCTCTAACCCAGAGATGAATCCTCTTTCCCTGCATTAGAGCATTATGGAGCTATTTAGATAGCACCATAAACTCACCCAGAACTTTACAGACCTATAGAAGGCACACTTCCAGCCCCAATATCTGTTCAAATCCAGGATCACCAAATCATAAGTATTGATGGGAGTTCTAAGGGGAAGTTGCACTCAGACAGTGGAAAGAATTAAGGGAAGATCTCTGCAACATGATTCCTTCCAGTTAAGTTGCTTTATATCTTTTCTCTAAAGTGAACCACTTACTCCATGATGAAGGGGTCACACCATCCCTGACATGAATTTGATATGCTGTTCCTCCATTATGCTGACTGTGCAAAAAGCTTCCTTGTGGAGAGGTACAAGGAACGTAAGGAAGAATGTCCCCATTTCAAGAAGCAGTAGCAACAGGTCACTTACTTGGGTCATTCCACTGACTGAGGTGTCCAGACATTGCAGGATGTCAATGCACAGGGTTTGGATAGTGCTTTCTTCCTGAATAGCCTGGGTGAGAAGTGTTGTACCCTGCTGTGAGATAGCTATATAGAACTTATTAGCTAGTAGTAAGACACTGGCTATAGAATCAGTGTCCTTCTCTTACGAAGCCATCTTGAACATTGACCTATGCCTGCTTTTATATTGCACTGGAAGTGCACAAACGTCTGAAGGAAAGAAAATAACAGAAACTCCTAACTGGTGGGTCAGATCCCAGGCTTAGGAAAACCCTAAAGTGAAGGGAATGATTCACTGAACACAAAAGAGTTTCCCCAACAGTGTTCAATTTTTTTAAATTTGAAAAAAACTGTTTCATCTTTTTATCTCTGAGGAAAAACATTCAGCCTCTGCCCAGTGTAAATAAATATGCAGAACCAGGGGGATCCACTCTGTTTGTTCTGATGCCCCAACCAGCTTGGTCATTCTGTGTGTAGTGAGTGTGAGTCTATCAACAACTTACGGTAAAGTTGAACTGTTTCTGTTAATACATATCATGGATCCAGTCATGGAGCACAAAGAGTCTGGAGCCCCTGGCTGTGTCCATGGATAGAAATACGGATTGAAGATATTTTTACACTAGTACATGCAGAGTAGAGTCTGTAGTGAGGGAAATAGGCAGCAAGCTTTTCCAGGCTCCTGACAGTCTGGGATGCAGCCTGCATAACCTCGGTGTTTTGCTAATAGTTTAGGTATGCTTCAACAGCCACAGAATTGGGCAGCATTATGTTCTGTGGAGAGTCTATTGAAAACAAAAAGATGTGCTTCCTTGTACAAGAACATTTCACTGAAAAATGGTGTTTTCAGCATTTTCAATGTCTC